ATTATATTTACACTACCACAGTGAGATGACTTTAGTCTCATGAACAACATCAGCTGATTGTTATTTACTAACTAATCTTAAATAACTGTTCAGTACAGAAATGAAGCCCAACAATCATGTTTCACAGTCCTGTGGTCTCAGCCTCAGATACTCAACTAATCAAAGCTCTTGTAGAAACAAATGAACAAAAGATTTTCTCCTTCATTTCTTTCAAATAATATGAAGCGTTTCCAGCTGTTGGTGTCATGGTTGCATTTCACAGGCCTCGCACTTCTTATTGGTCCCTCAGCACCGTTAAGGCTGCAGACCCTAAACTGGGACACAGCCAGTGCACCAGAGCAACCTTTAGCCTCTGGCAAACGGCCTTTGACCTCTAAACCTTTAACCTTTGACCTCTGAGGAGGGGAGATTTCAAAGCTCTGACTCAGTAGGGGTCAGCTTAGTAGAGCTACAGGGACACGCCCCCCTGGCGGTCGGCCCTCCAGCTGTATTTAAATGTCTTTGAATTTAACTGGCAGACAGTAGCGGCGCCATCAGATGCACGAATCAGAGCGCAGCTCTCCTAACCCCGCCTAACAGGCCTAATCGCACCAACCTTTTCTCCACGGCGCCCCCGGCTGTCAGTGCGGCTTACTGCAACCGTAGGAATGATTTTACTGTTACATAAACAAAGCTACCAGCCGTCGCCATGAAGGAACACTCGAGCAGACGTGCACGCAGCTGCCCGCGCTCTGAAAGCGCAGCGTGAAGCTGTGCTGAGAAACTCACCTGAGGTCAGCGGTCTCAGCTGGCTCCGCCTCCCGAGCCGACCGCGCAGACCTACTGCTCCTGCAGAGGAAACGCACACGGGTGGAGCACAGGTGAGATTTCTACTGCAGCTTCAGTCTAGCGAAGAAGGCCACATGCTGCCCCGCCCACTGCGCCCGTGTTTCAGATACTCACGCCTGCAGGTGGAGGTGACCCGCGCTCTCCACCTGTATTTGTTCATGAAGCTCCAGAAGCCTTGATGCGCAGAGGCTGACGGGCGGCGAGTTACCCGCCGCCAGCCGAGTCGCGTCCAGACGCTCCTCCTCCTCCTCAGGTGACGATGCTCCGCCCTCTCAGAGCTCCCGGCAGCCTGCGACACAGAGACACAGCAGGTCGCTTTTACAGCGCAGTAGCTCGCCATCCACCTGTGAAAACGGACGAGTGTGCACGTGCTGGGAACCCTTATGATGACGCAGCGGTGACCCGTGTGGGCGATATGACGAATGCACTCGATGCAGCGAGTTTCCCACGTGCGACGGCTACAATGACTTGATCGTAACTATCCAGCACAGGTTGCCATGCAACAAATGCATCATTAACCCCGCCCCCAACCAGACACTGTTCTACCTGTGCTGAGCGTGCATGTTTATACCAGAGAGTCGCTGTCGTTTGATTTCACGAGGATGTCGAACAAACCCTCACACTGGTTCGGTCCCACAAACATGACCCCATCGTGCCCGGGCTGGTTTCACTGGTTTCAGCTCCACGTGGAGGCTGCAGCGTGTCAGACGAGCAGGCCGGTGGTCCTCCATGAACACCTGGGCCGCCCTTCTTCACAGGTGACCTGTGACCCCTCTGGGACTCACCTGTGGAAGAAGCAGCGATAAGGGAGCCGACTTCATCAGCAGGACCACGGGCAGGGGAGCGGACGCCCTCTGATGCAACCTGGAGCAGGTCTGCTGTTCCACCAGGACTCTGGAGAAGCTGCCGGCAGAGAGGAGGGGACGTCAGCACAGAGTCCTGACCTTTAACTCTGCAGGAGGTCATGGTAACTCACCGCTCGTGCAGGGACACCGTGGATGTTCCTCTGGGGCGAAACGAGCCTGGCTCTGATGACTCCATCTGCCTCTGGACGCCGGACCCTGTTCACCTGCCGCCTGATTCAAAAGGATAAAAGCTTCATTCAGCACGGAAACCGGAAAAAGCAGCAGCTCCGGTAAAACTTTCACTTCCTGATGTCTGCCTTCATATCGGCATTCGTCAAAGAGGCCGCACACGACCCTGTTCATTTACACAGCTGTTTAACTCACACAGATATCTCCCGTCTTTGAGCCGGAAACGCAGATAAAAATTTTAATTAATCTCGCTTCGTGGTTCAAAGGTCAGCCGAATTTAAGAGGAGGCCTCAGCGGCCTCGTGGTGTTCAGCACAGTCTGTGAGCGCTCTCAGTTTCCGCGGGTAACACGGAAAATTTAATTTCGCTCTGTGCTAAAGCGGCGCTGGCCCGCCATTTTGTGTCCGCGCAAAAAAAGCAGCGCTCACAGCTAACGTTAGCTTCCACAGTTCACCTGTTCAGTTATAATATTCACGCACGCTTACCTGTATCTGAACGTCCTACCGGGAGAAGCTCACGGCCTAAAACAGACACACCTGTTACTAACTGTAAGGTCACTTCCGCTTGCTAACACTCGTGCCAATTAAGCGCAATGCTAACCCACAAGCTGCTGTTAGCATTAGTTTTACAAAGTTTAGTTTTTACAGATCAGCTAATTCCTCTCCGCAGGTTTCAGGTGAGCTCAGGTGAGGTGAGCAGCAGCACCTGGTGTTTCTCTTACAGCTCAGCCGCTGAACGTAGAGGCCAAACCGCCGTTAAAGTCACGCTCTGTCCGGGTTAACCGCAGCTAACGGCCCGCCCCGGGGTCAAGTTCACATCAGCAGCACACACACCTGTGTCAGACTCACAAACACAGAGGCCCACACAGGTGAATGTGTGTGTTCTCCTGCTGCTGATTTATCCTTTACAAACATGTTTGATCCGCAGGCAGTAGGAAGGCTATTTCTGCCAATAATTATTATTATTTTATTTAACCAGGAAGATCCCATTGGGATTAAAAACCTATTTTTCAAGGGAGACCTGGCCGAGACAGGCAACAGCAAGTGTCTCACAGTTACAAAAATTACTCTGTTAAACTAAGGCAGCAAAAACACGCATGCAGAAATAAATGAAATTTAAAAAAAGAAAAAGAATATAATTCAATAAAATTCAGTTAAAATGACAAACAATCTAATTGAAACAGTTGCGTGTTGTGGACGTGGCCTCAAGGATTCTTAGTTCAGATTTCAAACCACACAAATGAAAGTCGTTTTCTGCAGTTTGTTCCAAGCTGAGGGGGCTAAATGGACAAAAATCTCTTTTGCCAAGTTCAGTTCAGGCGGACGGAGAGGATACGACCAGCATGTTTCACTGCATGCAGGGAACATATACATGAAGGCAGCAATCCGATTATTGCCTTATATGTAAAACTGTATAAACGAGAGTTCCTCCAACTGGCCCAAGCAGGCGTCGTACCTGAGAGCAGAACTCACAGTGGTGAGTCTGAGATTTACTGTTAGTGATGAATCTCAGTATCAACACGCAGCATTCATATATAGACATTTTTATCTGTCTCTAGCACAGATAAAAATGTTGCAGCAACAAACTGCTTCTTTGTATTAAAGAAAAACGCGACTTATTTTGAAAATCGCAGTATTAACTTCAGTGTTTTTACGAGATTCTCTTCATGTGGTTTGAAGGTGACGAGTCATCCAGATATTTCTACGTGTGAACCAAAACATCGAGTCGTGGTTTAAAGGAGAAAACAGTTAAAGAAAAATCTACAAATCAAAGGTTAAAAACAAACAAACATCCAAATTAAATTAAAGACTGGAAAGGTGGTCATGAGTAAAACATCAGGCTTGGTGGGTGGGGTGGGTTTTTCAAAATTGCCTTCATATTCTTTTTTTTTTTTACTATATAAATAAAACAGGAGAGAATATGAGACATTTGAGGCTGGGACTTTGGTTTTCTATTAAAGCGGCATCACTGACCGCTCATGGCTTCAGTTGTGGATGCTGGTCGTCACAGACGTCCACAGACTGGAGGCCTCGGCCTGCTCGGTGAGGGCGTTCTCCCTGTGGGAGCTTGACAGAGCCTGGTCCTCGGTGCAGGACCAGTCCGTCTGGGACTGAAACCGCAGTGGTTTCCATGGCAGATGGTCGGAAAGCCAAGAGTTGGCCTGAAAGAGGAAGTTTTATTGTGAAAGAGTGTGTGCAGCAGAGTTTTAGACTGACGAGAGGAACACACTCTTATTTTTGTGTCTTTATTTATTGTAGGGCCTGAGTGCAGACAAATGTCACTCTGTCCCTTTTTCTTTCATCATGAAGGTCAGCTGTTTTTATTTTAGCTTCACTGTTTCTGTCAAACACGAGAAATGTGTTTCCTCGACTTTCGCCACCAGATGGCGCCAAACACACACACACACACACACACACAGACACAGGAGGGCTGTGATTGGCTCTCTCACGGCTGAAGTCACGCGCACAAACTTTCTCACAAGGCAAAGCGCGTTTCCGGCAGTATCACAAAATAAAAGCTGCAGTAACTGGTGCGGAAATGCGGGAAAATGAGTGAAAGGAGAGTTTTTGAAGCTGCATTTTGGAAACATTTTAGTTGAGTTGAGTTTTAAAACGTTTCTTTAACCCAGGAATCATCTCTAATAAGTGTTAATATATTTCCGTTAATCATTTTAATCATTTTTAAGCCTTGATGAGTAAGCTTGCCCTAACGGGATTTGATGCTTTGTGACATGAGAGTGAATTTAGGTTCACAATGAAGTAAAACTAGGTCAACTAAAAGAAAGGAAAACTTTAGGACGGGACAAATGACTGAAACTAGACAGCGAAAGCACGATTACAGGTGAATAACCGAATAGCCACTTTTCAATAACATAAACAAATAAAATAGCATAAATATTAAAAAGAACAAAAATCAAACCACGCAGAAAAATAAGGCAAACTGTAATTATAATTGTATAAAACTTAAATTGACTGTGCAGTGAAGTCAGGCAACATTACAGTGACATGGATGGCAGGTGGCAGGTGTGCAGGCAGGAAGCACAAACAGGTAAACCGCAGGTAAACGCTCCACATCGTAACAACGCTCAAAGTTTGGTCTCTGTGCTCTTATTTTGGAAGGCCCCAGAGGTCGCCAGACTTCCTGTTATGTCTGGCCGTCGGGGGAGCATGACATAGCCCCCACCTCCTCCTCCCCCCGGTGAGCGTGCAGACAGTCTGGATGCAGACGGAGTCGCACGCGGACGCGCCGACGGACGAACCTCCGGCCTCACGGACCCGGCAGCCGATCATAGCCGAGCGGAGAGCGCCGAGCCCGGTGAGTGCGCCGCGGGAGCCCGCTGAGAGCTTTTCTAATTCTTCTGTGAACAACTGTTGATGCAGCGGTCGGGTCAGCCAGTCAGCGTCAGGCATCGTCAGCATCTGATGACGTCATAGAGCCGCGGTCACGACGTCATTTTGCTTACAGTTTAATGAGAAAATGAAAGGAATCAGCAGTGAGGACGTGCATGTGTGGTGATCCTGTCTCCTCACCTCTCTGTTTCAGAGGGAAGTGACGTGTGTTTCTGATCACTGACCAATACGATCAATATCAGCCCTGCTCTGTGCTCACTGTATGAGCTCACCTGTGGATCAGCTGTGTTGCTGGCCCACGGGCACAGCGGGCGTCCCACCTGTCTGTGCGTTCCTGTCATGTATTTCCTGTTCCTCTGGCTGGTGGGTTCACGTGAAACCTGACACGACCTCAGCGTTTATCTGTGTGATGTCACCGAGGGCACACAGGCCCCACCCACATAGATCTGTGCGGGGAAGTCTTTTTATGCATCTGATTGTTGAGTCGTCTGAGCAGATTCTGTTTTACTTTATCAGGTGACCATGTCGGTGCTCGGCCCCGCCCCCAGCAGCGCAGACGCCTGCCTCAGCATCGTCCACAGCCTGATGTGCCACCGGCAGGGCGGCGAGAACGAGGGCTTTGCCAAGCGCGCCATCGAGAGTCTGGTGAAAAAGCTGAAGGAGAAGAAGGACGAACTGGACTCGCTCATCACCGCCGTCACCACCAACGGCGTGCACCCCAGCAAGTGTGTCACCATCCAGAGGACGCTGGACGGCCGGCTGCAGGTACGGCGGTGAAAACCTGACAGAGGGCCCACAGGAAGTAGTCACCTTATTTTATTCTGAAAGAGTTAGAAAGATAACAGGACTTCAAAGAAAAAGTCTTTGAAGTCTTCAGGCTCCGCCCCTCACCTGGTCTGCACCTGATCCTGTCCTTCCTGTGTCCTCTGTCGGGGCTCCAGGAGCTCCTCACTGATATAATAATGATGATGATGATGATGATGATGGAGCGGCCTGGGTGTGTCCCACAGTCTCAGTAATTATGAGCACACCTCAGTCTGCTGAGCCAGGTTCACACCCGGACCAGCTGACCCCGCCCACAGCGCACCCCTCCCCCACAGTCCCACTAAAACATGAGACACCTTCTGAGACATTCACAGACCCTTTAAACCAAAACGTCCCCACGAACCGTAAAAGCAGACGTGGTTCACCTGAGGGCATTGTCTCCCCACTGCTGCTAAAATGTTTCTGTGATAAGTTCAGGTTGGGGGGAACATGCTTTCAGGACGCAGGGCTGGGCGGGGCACACAGGTGAGCCGCACACCTGTAGCAGGCTCCTGTCACGGAGCGCTGCTTTGTTAAACCTCAGCCTCTGTTCGCCGCAGCGTCGCCCGATGAGCGAGCTGTGGAGCCTGTGCGAGGGTGGTGAGGGTCCGCATGTGAGCGAGGAAGACCCGAGAGATCAAACTTCAAATGCATGACCAATAAAACGAAGCGGTTAGAAGCGCGTTACAGCGTCGGTGTGACGGCAGGATCCTGCAGAACGTCTCACATCCAAACAGCAGCAGCAGGAGGAGGAGGAGGAGGA